GTAATAATAAAAAAATTTAATAAAAAATAAACGACTCGAATTTCTTTCCGGTCAATTACGCCATCTATTTCCGGTTTAAAAATAAAAATAAAATTAATAAAAATTTATTTATTTATTTACTCTTATTAACCGTAGCAAAATTCGATTTCTTTTTTTTTTGTTGCAAACAAAAAATTTTTTTTGCCAAAAAAAAAAAAAAAATTTTTTTTCGTGCCAAAAAATATAAAAAAAAGTGGCAGTAATTTTTTTTTTTTCATAACGAAAAATTTTCTGATTAATGTTTATTTATCAAGATTTACCAACATAAAAACTGCAAACTTTTTTTTTTAAAAAAAAAAAAAAAAAAGGAAAAAAAAAGGAAAAAATTAAATTAAAACTTTTTTAAATGAGAAAATTTTCCTTTTTTTCCCCCAAGTTTAATAATCTTAAAAAAAATTAAAAACGTAACAGGTACCGTCGGACGACTTGCGACGTCACAGATTTTTTTTTAAAGTTGGCAACACCAGAAAAAATTTCATAATCTTTATCATCATTATTATTATTATTATTATTTGTCAACTCCGTCGACGTCGAGTTAAAAAATAAAAAAATTTTTGGGGTCGGAAGAAAAAAAAAAATTTCTTTCCTTTCCTAATTTTTTTGTTTTTTTTTTTTTGTGCGATTACGTCACGGAAAAAAGTTTTTTAATAATCACGTGACGTTTACTAATGACGTAAAATTTCACGTTTCCTTTTTCGAATCGTAAAAATAAAGAAAAAAATTTTTTTTTTTTAATCCCCGGTTTTTAACCTTTGTGTTCTCTAACCCCCCTCCTATGTTAGTCATCGAAAAATTTACCCCTTCATCTAATTGATACCTTCATTCTTTTTCCCTTTCCCCTTCCCTGCCACGCCACTTAACCTCCTTCCTTCCTCCCCACGAAAAAAAAAAAAAACTAATAAAATTACACTTAGACCGAAACGAAAGAGTGAGAGAGGAAGAGAGAGAAAAAAAAATTAATGATGGATTTAAATATTCAAAGGAAGGAAAAGAGAGTGAGAGAGAAACGTTTCCGGTTGTAACCGGTAATTTTACCAGTGGTAATTTTTAAAAAAAAAATTTTCCACACCGGAAATTCAAAAATAAACGTTTAAGCCGCGATGGAATTTAAATGAGAGAGTAAGAGAGAGAGAGAGAGAGAGAGAGAGAGAGAGAGAGAGAGAGAGAGAGAGATTCGTGTGTCGTTTTTTTTTTTTTTATGTGTTGTAATTTTCAATGAAGGATTAAATAATAAAAAGGGGGGGAGGAAAGAAAAAAAAATCCAAATGAAAATCATAAATTAAAGAGAATTTTGATTGATTGATTGAATGAATGAATGATTGAAAAAAAAACTCATCGTATTATTATTATTATTATTTTTAAAAAAAATCGAAAAAAAATTTTTTTTTTAAACCACACCCCACAGTTAAGAAGAAAAAGCAATAAATTTTTTTTTTTTTTTTTCACTTTCGTAGGGAGGTAATAAATTCTATGGTAAAAACCGGAAATAAAAGATGGTTTTTAAATTTTCTCCCAAAAAAGAGAGGAGAAAGTTAAACGTGAAAATATGAAAGAATGAAAAAAAAATGAGAGCGCGAGTGGGAAGAGGGGGGGAAGGCAGAGAAAGACATGAGGTTAAGTCAGTCGTCAAGTTAACAATCGATTTTTTTTTTTTTTTAATTTCAAAAAAAAAAAGGAATGACTAGAAGAGAGAGCGAGAGAGAGAGAGAAAGTAGAAGAGGGTTCGGAAAATAAAGAAAAGAAGAAGAAAAACTTCAGTACTTGTCAAAGAAAAAGTTAAGTTAAAAACTTTTCTAAGGTTGAGCAATTGACTGAAAGAAAACTTCATAATTCTTAATTTTAAACGTCATCCCTTAGGTCCCTTCCCCTCCCCCAACTCCTTCCGATTCTCCTCCCTCATCCTCCTTCCCTTTTTCCATCCTCCAGTCAATTCTCATTTTTGATTTCCCTCTGGAGAAAATAAAAATAATTTTTTTATTTTTATCATTTTAAAACAAAAAAAAAAATTTTTTTTTCTTTTTTTTTTTTTTTTTTTAAATGACTCAAATGTCAATTGTAAAATTTAATATTGCGTAATCTTTTTATAATAAAAAAAAAAAAATTCCGAGTTGAAGATTTACGATGACTTACGCCGCGTTTTTTTTTTCCTTAAAAACGATGAAAATAAAATTTAAATTTTCAAATAAACTTTAACTTTTTAAAAACTTCCGGTTTTTCCCGTCCATTTTGTTAAATTACTTTCTCCCTTTTTTATTTTTCCCTTCCCCAAAACTCATTTCCTAAAAAAAAAGAAAAACCTTTTTCTCTCATCTTATTCCACGTTTAATTTTATTCTGGTTTTATTATTATTATTATTATATAAATCAAATCGATACAATTTATATAGATTAATTTATTTTAGAAAAAGTTAAATTAAGGAAAATAAGGGTTTTCTTAGCGAAAATCAATCATACTGTTATTATTATTATTATTATTATTATTATTATTAATAATCTTAGTTGTAACTAACTAACTAACTAACTCTTAGGTGAATTAATTTTACGAATCGCGGTGAAAACCATTTGTAAAATGTTTAAAAAGTTTTTAGCTAAATCACTCATTTGGAATAATTAAAATATATATAACAAAATTTGTTTACATGGTGATTTTAATTTTTTTTTAAAAAAATAAATTTAACTTCTCACTAGGGCATCGGTAGTTTGTTCGTTTCGACAACAACAAACAACAAACGTTTGATGCAAAATAAAAATTCATTTTGTACGAAAATCTCGTGAAATTTTTTTTTTTTTTTCTAACTGCACGAGCATTCAACCGTTAGAATAAAGACAAAAGTAACAAACGGATTTAAGTAAAAAATAACAAACACAACACACCCAACTACAACAAAAATTTTCCCGTTTGTTGACTTTATCCTAGTTTTTTTTCCAAAAAAAAAAAAAGATTCAAATGACGCCCTTGAGAGAAATCGAATATAACTTTTATTTAATGGCGTAATAAAAATAAATTCTTTTTTAAAACGTTTAGATTTTCTTACTCTCAGGCAAAAAATATACACACACACGCACACGCACACACACGCACAAAAAAACATGATGATGATAATAATAATAATGATTTATCCAGTGATAGTCGGAGATTGAATTCAAAAAAAAAAAAAAAAAAAAATTGGTAAATTCGTTTTTAATCGAGGATTAATTCCCTTTGTAATTATTATTATTATCAACCTTATTTCATCATCACCATCATCATCATTATCTCCATCAACGTCCCCATTATCATCATCATCATCATCAACACCAACACCATCATCACCATCTACATTACAATTATCGTTAACATCACTATCATCACCATCATCATATCCATCACTACCTTTATCATCATTATTATCATCGTCATCATCGTCATCTTCGTCATCATTATCATCACCATTACATTACTATCACCGTCATTGTCACCGTCATCATTATCGCCACCATAATCATCCCTATCATCGTCATCGACATCTTCATCATCTGTACCATCATCATCATCATCATTATTATCGCCACTTCTATCATCGTCATCTTCATCATTTTCACCAAAATCATCATCACTATCTACATCACAATTGTCGTCACCATTATCATCATCATCATCATCATCGGCATCATCATCACCAACACCATCATCATCATCATCACCAACATCATCACCATCTTTCACTATCAATCACTATTACCATCTCTGTCACCGTTATCGTTATTGTCACCCTCATCATCATTATTATCATCATCATTATTATCATTATCATTATTATTATTTTACCATATGAAAAAATGAATAAATATTGGATTAATGTTAATGAAAACGTCACACCGGAAATTCATTTGAAATAATATTATTACCACCGTAATAAACGGAAACGGTTTACACAACACATAATTAAAATAAAATAACGTTTAAATCCCGCCGATAATCTCCCCAATTCCTTTTTATCATTATTATTTTTTTTTATCGGTTATAATTATAGTCTATAAATGATAATAAAAAATGTATATTTAAATTTTTTTTAAAAAATTTATTATAGCGCTATAATTATCACAAAACAAACCCAAAAATTTGATGATAAAAAAAAAATTCGACACATTTATTATTGTAGATTATAAAAAAATTTTTTTTTTCTCCTTCCATTTTAAAGCACTTAGTTCGATCGATTATACGAGGGGGGGGGGTGTAGTAGCGGTGGCGGTGGTGGTGAAAATTACGAAAATAAAATTTTTAATATAATCATTATTATTATTATTATTATTAAAACAGATTCGACTGGAAAGTTTTTCTTTTAAAGAGTTTTTCTCGCGTTTTTATTAAAAAAACAAAAAGCGAACGATTACGATGGTGATAATAATAATAATAATAATAATAATAATAATAATAATATTTTCGAAGGGATGAATTTCAAGAGGAGGAGGCGGGGGAGAGAGGGGGATCAATAATAAAAAAATAAACGACGTCGGTGTTCCTTAATTACGGTTTGCTGCACTTGAAACCGTAAAAAAAAAAAGAAAAGTTTTTTAGAGGTGCCATTTGCAATGTTTTTTTTTTTTTTTTTTTTTTAACAAACAATTTAAAACTTTCTATAAACTATAGTTAAAAAAAAAAGGAAGACATTTTCTTTTTTTTTCATCAAACCGCTGAAAAAAAAAAAAACTTTCCAGGAAAAATTTAAAAGGATTAGTAAACACTTGCGTATTGAAAAAAAAAGAAAAATTAAAACCGGAAAAAAATATTTTAAGAGTATATATATATCGATAAACACGATGACGTCATCGATTTTAATCTCTTATCACGATCGTGACGTTTCTTATCATCATTATCATCATCACCGTATTTAATTATTATTATTTCCAATCGAATTTTCTCCAGCCGAATTATTTTATTTTAAATTATTTTAAATGGAAATAAAATAAGAGAAAACTTACCCCGTCCAAAGTATAAAATCAACGTCGCCATGTTTACTTTTCATTGTGTGTACCGCGGATTCAACGAGTGCCCACGGTGAATCGCATTGATAATCTCCATACATTCCCATGGGTTTTATCGGTGATCCTATCGAATCTTTTCTTTCCCAGCATCCTAAATCAAATCAAATCAATTTTTTTTTTTAAAAATTCAAGGTACCAAAAAATCAATGATGATGATAATAATAATAATAATAATAATAATAATAATAATAATAATAAGAAGAAGAAGAAGAAGAAGAAGAATAATAATAATAAAAACTTACGTTTTCTGGAATCTCCATTCAACGAATAATTAATATCGTAATGGATATCAGAAATGTGCCAAAAAAAACCTGGGGAAAAATCAAAAAAATCAAAAATTAATTTTTGTATTTCCGCTCATATATATAACTTCCGGTTTTTTTTTTTTAATCATCGATTCGATCCTTTATCTCTCTCTCTCTCTCTCTCTCTCTCTGTCTCTCTCACTCTCGCTTCAACTCCATTATCTAGAAACTCTAGAATATTTTATTATATAGGTAACGATTAAATATTTAAAAATTTTCAATATGGCTTCCTAAAATTTATTTAACGCACTCTTTCTCTCTCACTCTCTATTTCTCTCTAGCGCGTAATTTCCGATAATAAAAAATTTTTTTTTTCATTCTTTTAATTAATTAAAAGAGCACAAAAAAAAAGAAAATGGCGACTCTCGAATGATAAAATCGAAAAAATTTTTTTTTTTTGGAATTCGTTTTTTCGAAATCTTTTCACATTTGTTTTCATCTCGAGGCGATCTTTAATTATTATTACAAAAAAAAAATCGGAGGGTTGCAGGGAGAGGGGGGGAGAGAGAGGAGAGAGAGAGGAAGAAAATTTAAATTATTAAATTATCAGTTTCCGGTTAAAAACAACGTTAAATTTAAAATTTGCATTTGAAAAAAAAAAAAAAGTTTTGATAATAAATTGCCGAAAGGATAAAATTAAGATAAAATTCGCGATTTTTTTCGGAGAGGGGGAGGAGAGAGAAGTGAGTTAGGGGAAGAAAGAGAGAGATAGAGAGAGTATGAAATAAATAAAGCAAAAAAAAAAGAAGAAAATTTTTTTTTTTTTACGGGAGTAAAACAACAAAAACAATAAAGTTTTACGCTGTAAAATGCCTTTGGAAATTTAAAAATGGAAAAAAAATCATCGGGAAATTTTTTTATCTTATAAATGCCAATTTATTTTCCAAAAAAAAAAAAAAAAAAAAAAATTTGGAATGATAATTTAATATTATAAAATTAAAAAGAGATAGAAAATAAATTTTTTTTTTTTGTTCGGAAGAATTCGAAAAAGTTTGAATGGAAAAACTCGCGGAAATCGGACGTTCGCTCGTTCGTTATAATTAAAATTAAAAAAAAAAAAAAAAAATGATCCCGATCGGAAATATCCTACCGGAAATCGTATAATTAATTATACGGAAATACGTATGACATAATTTTAAAAAATTTAAAATATTTTTTCCAGAGAGGAGAGGGAAAAGGGGGAGGCAGAGGGAAGGGAAATTTCTTTCTTTTTCATTATCATCCGAACGTCATGAAATCGTTTCAAAAATGTTTTCAATATTAAAAATTATTCTGGAATTTTTTGAATCCCGGGGATTTTTAAAAAAAAATTTAAAATTTTCATTTTGCGCGGGAAAATTTAAAAAAAAAAAAAGGAAAAAAGAGGAAACAAAATTTACAAAAAAAAAAAAGATTTTTCTCCAGATGCCAAACCCCCCCCCAAAAAAAAAAAAAAAATTTTCGATGCGATTTACGATTTGCATCAACGTACTTTGTTTCTAACGTAATTTTCTGCCTCCCTCTCTTCTCCCTTCATTTTTTTAGCCCCTTTTCTCCTCCCCCTAAAAAAAAACCAATCCGACGACAGCATCAACAGTATAAACGACAACAGCAACAGCAGCAGAAACAAAAAAAAATTCAAACTTTATCAGTAAAAAAAAAAAAAAAACTACAGAAATACATTTACATACTTGAGTGCATATTATCAAAAATTTGCATTTAAATTAGAAACCCAGATGATAATGATGATGATGATGATGATAATGATAAATTTAATGAATTTATTTATTTCTTTGTTTCGTTTTTTTTTTTTCTATACGTCGTCTGCTTTTTTTTCTGTTCGTTACTATAAAACGATTCGAACTCTTAAACACTCGTTTACTCGTCTTGTAATAATAATAATAATAATAATATTTAAATTACAATTAAATATGGCGGAAATTGTTTTTTTGAATTTGAAAATTTACGCGTGGATTTTTTTTCCCGTTTTTTTGTTTAAACCGAAAATAATAAACGACAAAGGAAAAAAAACGGTACATTTTAAGAAAAAAACAAAGAGTTTCAGGCTCACTGAAAATTAGTTATAGAAAAAAAAAATCATAAAACTCTCTGTTGAGATAAAATTTCACGTAGTATTTTTCCAGGGACCGACCGACGAAAAGTTTCCAGCTGAGACGGTTTTATTTAAACGCATAAATATTTTTGGAAACATTAGAAACGCCAAAAAAGTTTTAAAATTCACTCAAATCCCGGAGCATCATTTTCTTTACTTAATGAAATTTTTACCACCGACGCTCTTTCCTCTCTTTCCCCCCTTCTCCGACCCCTTGCCTTCCCCCCATCATGCATCAACCACCCTCCTCCCCATCCACGTTCATATATTTCGGCTTTTCCGCGAAACTACAATAAAAAAAAAACAAACAAACGTAAACTGAACGTACCTTAATAAGCGAATTAAAATTTTTTTTCGTTTTGTAATGACGTCACTCAAGTAAGTAACAAAAACGATTTACGCGCCAAAAAAAAAAATTTTGAAAAGTTTTTTCTTTTTAATTTTTTTAATTTTTCAAATTTGTTTTAAAAGACGTTGAAAAATTTCAAAAAAAAAAAAAATCCACTTTAACCTTTGACACGACGTCGACGTCGTCATCGTCGACGTCATCGACGACAACGACAAAAAAAAATTAGTTTAGTTTAAAACAAAAAAAAAATTAAAACGATAATTACCGTTTGAAGAAGTAAGAAAAAAGAAAAAATAATAATAATTAAAATAATTTAATGAGCGACTCGACGATCCGACCAATCAAAACGCGACATAGTTGAACCGATTTTTATACACCGTAAAAAAATCCCTCACGCGTATGTTTACCTTATATTAATTAATAATTTTTAATTTAGAAAAAAATAAGATTTTCATTTTTCTGTCATTTTCGCGTTCCCTTCCCTTCTTCCTGCCTCTCCCTTACTTTTTATTTTAAGTAAATCAACGTTGATGATGCTGTTGATGATGATGATGATGATAATAATAATAATAATAATAAATAAATGAGTTTATTAAGTTTTTTTTAATTTTTCTGTTCCAGCATTTGACTTCAAAAGAAAAAAACGCGCGGATTATTAAATAATTCCCTTTTTCTTGCAAGATTTTAAACGTTTGATTAAATGAGGGGGAAAAAACGAGAGAGAGAGAGAAAAAAAGAGACAGAGAGAGAGAGGAAGGGAAAGAGAGAAAAATAAATCCATAATTTTTTCTTGTTTTTTTTTTTTTTTAAATAAAATTATTATTATTATTTATTTAATATAATTCGATAAGAAAATATTCAAAAGTTATTAATTATTTATTTATTGTTATTTTTAATAATAATAATAATAATAATAATAATAATGATAATTAAAAGAGCGGAAAAAGGTTTTTTAGGTAAAAAAAAAAAACAAGATGAAATTTAATTATTTAAAATTTTTTTTTTTTTTTTTTTTTTTTTTTTTATCAGTCCCCCAAAGTTTTTGCTGTTTGTTCAGAATTTTTTTTTTTCATATTTAATAAAATTTAATGTTTGTTAATAAGTAAGTAAGTAAAAAAAACCCGCGTTTACGTAAAAGGAGGAGGAGGGGGAAAAACGGGAAGGGGGAAAAAAACGAAAATAAAAAAAAAAAATTTTTTTGGAAAAATGCTAAAAAAAAAAAAATGATGGAAAGTTTTATTATAAAAAAAAAAAAAACCCCGGGCTTGCCACAACAGCAGCAGCAGCAACAAAAACAACAACAACAAACAACCTTTTACAATTTTTTTTTTTTAAAGCGCAAAGAGGAAAAATTTCCATAAGGTTTTTTTTTACGTTATAAAAACCATTAAACAAAAAGTGGGTGGAATGAAAAAAAAAAAAAGTTTTCCAGTGCCTGGAGTCCGTTCCATCTGCTACATTTTCATCATCGACCATAAAATCAGATTTTTCCGTTATAAATTTCAAATGAAACAAAAAAAAAATCAAAAGAAATTTTTTTCTTTTTTTTTTTTTTGTTTTCATCGATGACGTCATCATCATTCATTTATTACGACAAAAGAAAATGGCGATTTTTTTACTTTGTAAAAAAAAAAAAAACTGGAATATCATGGAGAAAAAAAAATGTCTCGCTACATGAATTATGCATAAAAAAGGAAAAAAAAAATCAAAATCAAAACTCGTTTATCACATCTCCTGTCATTCTTCATCACCATCATCATCATCATCATCATCCTATATTTTCCAAAAATTTATACCTACGGTCCTGATTTTAAATTCGGTTTGTTTACTAATTAAACAATCCGCGTAATCAACCGAAAATTACTGTGCCGTGGACGTTTTTAATTATTTTTTCTTCCATGTTCCCGATAAATCTATCAATGTTTTCCTATCGAATTTTCCTCCTCCTCTTCCTCCATCCTCCCCTCATTTAAACGCCCTTCCTCTCCCCAATGTCCGGGTAACGTCCCTTCCCTACCCCACGATCCAGTGAAAAAAATTTTTTATTTTTTAAATACGATTTCGTTTAAATTTCTTTTATAAAATCAAAAAAATTAAACAAAATAAAATTTATTTCCTTTGACCGTCGCTTTCGTAAAAGGAAAAAAGGAAAAAAAGGAAGGAAAGGAGGAAACAAAAGTAAAAAATTTGATTTGCGTGTGTATTCAATCGTTTTCCTTTTAACTACCCCTTTAACCTTTTTACACGTTGCAATTATTATTAACCGTAAAAAATTTGCATTTACTTAACCACCGCGACCGCCCTCCTCCCCATTTCGACCTTTGCACCCTTCCCCCTTTCCCTCTTCCGACGTTTCGTTTCCTTTTATTTTCATCGTTCGATCATTAAATTATTAAAAATTAATTCAAAGGAAGAAATAAAAAAAAAGGAAGGTTTGTAACTTTATTGTATTATTTAATGATATGAATTTTTTTTCTTATTACCCGAACGGATTCGAACGTTTTTTTTTTTTTTAAATTGTGATTTTATTACCACGTGAACGCCACAAAGGAAAATAGAAAAACGGGGGGGGGGGAAGAGAAGAGAGGAGGAATATATACTCGAAAGTATTTTTTCGTTTTAAAAAAAAAAGGCGTCAGAACGCGAGGGAAAAAAAAGAAAATTTTTATTTTATTTTATTTTGTCGCATTGGATAAGAATTCTAGTAACACGACAGAAAAATAAAAAAAGAAACTTTTTTTTTTTTTTTTTGAAATTTAAATTGTAATTTTTTTTTCTTTTTTTTTTGTGGTTGTTTGTTTTTTAACTTATTGTTTTTTTTATTGCATTCTTTCTTTCTTTTTCTTTTTCGGGGAGGGAGGGCTGTGGGAGGAAAGGAGGAAGAGAAAAACGCCAAATTTTGTTTTTGAACCGGTCAATGACGTAAGCAAAATTTTTTTTTATTATTATTATTAACATTTTTAGTTTTTCCGAGTTTTTATCACTCCCTCTTTCCCCTTCTCCGAAAAAAAACGTTTTAGAGAAAGAGGGGGGTAAGATAGAGAGAGAGAAAAAAGGCGGATACGAATTAATGAGGCTGCTGCTGTCGCACAAAATTTTTTCTTTTAACTTTTTCAATTTTTGAACTTTTTAATTTTTTTTTTCTTTTTTTTTCCAGTTGTTTTCTTCATAATTTTTCCTTTTTTTTTTTTTTTCAAAACTCAACCTTTGACCTCTTCACACCCACGTTTTTTTTCTTTCTATTTAATATTTTAAACGTTTTGATTTTTTAATGCGGAAAGCAAAAAAAAATACCTTGTAACCTTTTTGTTTTTACCCTTTTAAGTGGTACGAAAAGGTCAAACAATATCTTTTTTGTTAAAAAAAAAAAAATTAAAATTTCCTAAGGTCAACGATTACCTGCCACGGTTGCCAACCTCAAAAATTTTCAAAAAAAAAAAAATGTTTTTTTTATAGTCAGTTAAAAATCCTTTCTTATTCTTTACTCTCTCTCTCTCTCTCTCTCCTTTTTACGAAATAATATTTTTTGATATACTCTCCTCCCACCAACCCTCCTTCTTTTACCTTTATCCTTTTTTATTTTTACGATTTCCCACCCTCCTCACTTCATTTCCCGCCCTCCTCAAAAAACAACCCTTCGATTAATTTAAACATACAAAAAAAGATTTATATTCCGACATTTTTAAAATAATTTTTTTTTTCATCTTTTCCGGTTGTTTTTTTTTTTTTTTTGAAAGAGGGAGGGCGAGGCGGGAGGAGAACCGGTTTAAAATTAATAAAAAATAATAATAATAATTTCCTTCTAAGAAATATAATATTAAAAAAAAAATTCAAGATTTAATATTAAAAAAAAAAAAAAAAATTAAATAAAGAAGAATGAGAACGAAAAAAAAAGTCATCTGACAACAATAAAAATGTTTTTTTTTTTTTTTTTTTTTAAATTCGTTGCATGTCAAATAAAATAATAATAATAATAATAATAATAATAATAGATAAAGAAAATGGAATAAAGGAAAATGATAAAAGGAAAGAGTATGGGGGTAGGAAGGGAAGTGGAGAAAAAAAATTTAATATC